GACATTTTGATAAATAATTTTAATATGAAAGCAAAATGAGTTTTAATATAATTTTGATTAAATTACATTACTATCTAGACGTCTGCAATATTTGATGATAACATATTATATTAATAACTGATGACTATACATTTAAATAAGACCTATACATTTTATAACGGAAAATAACTTTTGCTTAATCTTATACTTAAATTTAACAAAAATCAATGTTCATTTTACACAATTTAAAATAATAATTTCACTATTAATTCACTACTGAATAATCATCACTATAATTCATTACACTTATTAAATCTCTTAAAACTTATTTATATAATAACAATTATATATTAATTTAATATATAAATATATAATTTATACTTTAGAACATTAAATTTAAAATAATAATTATTTTATTAAATTGTGTAGTATAAATTGTTTTAACTAATAATGATTCAAATTAAGGTAATACAAAAAACATTAAATATGAATTGAGAGCATCATTACTTAATTACTTACAAATTAAGATAAAATTGAAATGAATAGCAAGCAATAGGCAGAGGTGTATGGGTGTTGGGGTTGTAGTGGTGGTGGTGGTGGTAGTGGTGATGGGCGCAAGAATGGACATCTTTACCTGACAGTATTAGAGATTGAAATGTAGGTGCAATCTAACGCTGTCTGGTAAGATGTCATTGTTTACGCATACGTTGGCCACGGAATGGATCCAATGGTGACAACGACTAGTCCTGAGCACAACTCGACCACAACTGACTCGTAATAGCGCTCAACGTTTATATAAAGTCTGAAAATAGATCTCAATATTCATATCAATTGAATACAAGAAACAGTTCATAAGTAAATGATTTAATGTATGATTTGATTTGCTTTGAAGACCAGATGCTCTCAAACAGTATGAGCGATGAAAAGTGCTTTTAATATGATATTAAGCGAATGTATGCAATAAATGGGTAATGTTTAGTGATTTGTACCAGATTTTAATGTTACTGATAAGAAATATCAATTTTCGCCGTTTCACACATTCCCAGCCCTGCGATCGGATGTTCTCTAACAGACAGTCCTTTGCCTAAACTTATCTCATATTAAAAGCACTCTTATTAGCACTTCTATCATTGCTTTCAATGCTTAAGAGTCACTATATCTTACTTTATAGAAGTTGTAAAATTCAATAAATAGCTTCAATTCAGCACTACTTCTCACTAAAATTCATATCAAATGAATAAACATCCAATAATTCCTAAACACCATTACATCACATCCTTGACATGTGAGCCCTTTTGTCTTCATATGCATCCAATGTCTTACTTTACACCGCAGTTTCGATACAATATAATCCAGATCTCTGTGACAA